ATAGTGAGGAAAAAATACAGAAAAAGGAACTAAATAGAAGATAAGAGTTCAGAATTTTAGACGGAGACGCTAGAAGTATAGATCTGAAGTAGATTTTAGAAGCACAATAATGTAGTGATCAGGAAAGCAACCTCTTAGGTGTCTGTTCCATGAAGTACCAGTTCTTGGAAAGTAGCACTCCAAGTGGAACTTCTTTCTTACACCTATGAAGTGGGCTGATATGTTGAATATAAAGGAATGTTGCTAGAAGTGTTGAATTAATTTTAACTCTACTTATTAATAAATGCACTGTGTCGCTCCAGGTAAACTGATATCTGCCAATTCATCTGACTTCAAAAGTAAGGAGTATTAAGTTCTCTTGAAAATAGACAAAATTAAGGATCGTGATGTTATCAAATACCCACAGAAAAAGGTTTTAGTCCCCAAGGGCATTCATGTTGGCATGGTGCTATATTAACAGACGATGGGATGCTACGTTAAAAGAGGATACTCCGTCTTTATCAGCAGTGGAAAAGCGTACAGATGAATTTAAGATGGGAAGGAAAATCTTGAAGATGACCTACGGTCTAAACGTTCTGCAATTGTCACCACCGAGGAAAACATGGTGATGGATGACAGGCAATTGAATATAAATCAAATAGCCCATGCTCTTAGCATATCCTCTGAGAGTACGCTATTTACATTATTCGGACTATTGTCTTCATCTTTGTCGCCATGTTTATCACGAAGTTTCGGATGTCAGTTATCTCCTGTTAATTCCTCTCTCAATGTTCTCCACCGCCTTAACCAGGTATTGAACTCACACTCTTTGGGTCCTGTCACCGGATCTAACTAACGCCTTTATCTACCTTGAAGCCGAAATGTTGTGATAAACATGGCGACAAAGATGAGGACAATGCCATAGCGTATTCGACTTCAACATCAAAATCATTATTTTTGAAATATCTAAACCAATCTCTGCAAGTTCCTTCCGACAGAGTATGTTCGCCGTAAGTCTCAGCAAGATTTCTGTGTGCATCAGCTGCAGATTTACTTTTAGAATAAAGTAGTGCAGTACAATTACCCATTTAAATCCGACATGTTTAATGCTATGATATATATATATATATATATATATATATATATATATATATATATATATATATATATATATATACCGAGTCAGCCAAAATGTATATACATTAAGGAAAGTAAAAAACTTGTATAGATATTGTAATACTGAATTTATTCAGGCATCACGAAATTAATAGACGTTACCTTTGGATTTTACAATCACAAGAGATATTCAAATTTGAGACACTTATCTTCCAGACATTTTTTTTTTTTTTACGGCGAACTACAGCTTGACCAATGTTGGGATGGCTGGACAAGCATGTTCAATTTCTTAACTAATATAGTCAGTTTTCTACGATACACAACATCCATTAGGAACTCCACTGGTAAAAGTCTTAAAACGACGAAAGACAAGTTTTCCTTTCCTGAAGTATGCCCGTCCTGGGTATGACGATAAACTACATCCGCGTCCTGGGTTTGGCGATAAACTACGTCTAACAGCAAGGCCTCTGATCAGGAGGTTTTGAGGTGCGTGGAACCCCGTCTTAATTGCTCGTGTTCCCAGGTCTACTATGACCCGGGGTGTCCACCATGACCCGGGGTGTCCACCATGACCCGGGGTGTCCACCATGACCCGAGGTGTCCACCATGACCCAGGGTGGTAGCGCCTGTTAGGGTCCCAACTATGGGCAAATAGTTACCCCGCAAATCTTGCTGAAAACATTATGAAAGTGTAAAAATACGTTTAAATACCAGCAATAAATTTTTGAGGTCAAAATATTACCAGCAATACATTTTTGAAGGAAAACATATTACTAGCAAAACATTTTTTGTAAATAATTATTACCACCAATACATTATTACTAGCAATACATTTTTGAATAAAAAAATACCAGCAATATATTTTTGAAAGAAAATAAAATATTGCCAGCAATACGTTTCTGAAAAAAACAAAAAAAAAAAAAACAATATTACCAGGAATACATTTTTTGGAAAAAAATGTTACCAGCAATAAAAGTCTTGCCGGCATTAAATAGCCCATTGAGGTTGATGTGCCGTAAAACAAACGAAACGAAACGAAAACTGAAGTGTGTAAACATTTTATTTGGCGGACTCTGTATATGTTAAAAGATATTTGCATATATATTATCCTTTTATATAGATTATGAAAAATTATTACACCTGAGTATTTACAATTTTAAATAATTTCTTAGATAATTTTTCTTTGGAATCTATTTGTTAACTTGCAATAATACATTCAGATATAACATGCGTCTTACATCATACAATTCTTTTCCATTTCTTCTTTATTAAATTCTATCAAGTTACATTTCGAAAGCGATCAATACTTCTTTTATATATAATTCGAAAACTGATGTACTGAGATTTGGTGGACATTTTCCAGCGATTTTCTCTGACACGAATCGGGAAATTTATTCAAATTAGATTCTGCGAATATAATTAATTGAACATCTTTTTATTTGTGAAAATATGTTAAATTAAATTTGCCCGGGAAGAATTTGATGACAGAGAATCCATTTAGGATGCTGAAAATACAGGGATAAATGAAAGGATACTTGAGCGACATTAAATTCATAGAAGAGAAGACAGGACATCTAACCACAGAAGAAGAGAGGCTAGGTGTAGATTTATAACAAAGATTTTTTGGAGGAAGTAAACGATTTCCCAGAAATACCTATGAATAAAAGTAATCAGCGCGCGCACACACACAAATACAGAGAGAGAGAGAGAGAGTGTAAGGAAATGCTTTTTGTATTGACAATACAAAAAGCATTTCCTCTGTCACATGCACACACTCTCACTCCCAAGTAAGGCGATAAAGCCACTAAGGCAAAAGGGTTGGTTTGTTTTACGGCTCAACCTCAATGTGCTATTTATTGCCGACAAAATTTTCATTGAAACATTTTTTCCTTCAAAAAATTTATTTCTGCTAATATTTTTTCCTTCAAAAATTTATTTCTCGTAATAGTTTTCTTTCACTAGAAATATTTTTTTCAAAAAATGTATGGCTGGTAATGTTTCTTTTTTTCAAAAATGTATTGTTGGCAATATTTGTTTGTCAAAAATGTATAGCTGGTAATATTTTTTTTTTAAATGTATTGCTGGAAATATCTTTTTTTAAAAATGTATTGCTATAATAATTTTATTTTTACGAAATATCTGGTATTAAAACTTATTTTTACACTTTCATAGTATTTTGACCCAAGTTTTTTGGGGGTTTAACTATTTGCCCATTGTTAGGACCCTAACAGGTGCTACCACCCTGGGTTAGAGTGGACCTGGGTACACCAACAATTAAGAGGTGGTTCCACGCTCTTCAAAACCTCCTGATCAGATGCATTGATTTTAGACGTATGGCACAAGAGGCTACCAGATGTGAAAGATAAGGAAAAGATGTTAGAAGGAACTGAAAACTAAATTCTAGAAAGGAAACAAGGGATAAATCTCTACTCCTCTTCAAAGGATCGGAGAGGTGTGTGAATCGAACGATAGAAGAACTTATCTACTCGTATTGATGAAAAAGAAATAGTAAATAACATTTCAGAGTTTAGACGGAGACTTTAGAAGTATAGAGTTGAAGCAGATTTTAGAAGGACACGGAAACCGAGTCCTAAGCAGGAAACAAGGGATAAACCCCTACTCCTGTTTAAAAGACCGGGGAGGGACGTGAAACGGACGATCGGCGAAACTATCTTCTCATATCGCGAAAAAAAAGCAACAAATATATAGTTAAAAAAAAGTTTCAGAGTTTAGGCGAATACGTTAGAAGTATAGAACTGAAGTCGACTTTAGAAGGGATGTGGCACACAATTTTAAACAGGAAACAGGCTTACGGCTACATTACGTTGAAACACCAGTTCTCGTGAGATCACAGAAGTCAAATAACGTTGAGCCGGTTCGTTGCCTAAATGGATCACCGCTTGGGAATACCAGGTGCGTTAAGCTTGTTTGTACAGGTGGTGTAATGAATAATTAATTGAAATGGTTAATCGGAGAGCCGATTTCCAGTTGCCGATGGGTTCGCTATATTCCGTTACGCCCAAATACTCTTGGAAAATGTCTGAATTCACCTCTTCCTAGTTATGGCTTAAGTAGTAAAAATTGTGTCACTAAATCATTATTATCTTAAAAAAAAATAATTTAAAATATTTCATGGCGTTAAATAAGTAAAATGGGTTTATAAGACCTGGAAAACGAATATGGATTTAGATAGATAGATAGATAGATAGATAGATAGATAGATAGATAGATAAATACGAACTGATTGAGATAGATATGAATTGACTGAGATAGATAGATAGATAGATATGGACTGATTGAGATAGATAGACATGGATTGAGATACATAGATTGATACGAACTGATTGACGTATGTTTTTGTGTTTATTTTTTAAATATACCGACATATTTTTTTTTCATCAGCAGGGTTCCCTTGCTTTACAAAGATAGTTAGCTTCTACTCTGTTTTAAAAGATCTGAGAGGAGTTTGAACCGGGCGATAGGCACACATAAATAAATAAATGGTAAATTTTAGAGCTTTAGGCGTAGATGTTAGAAATCTAAAAGACGTCCAAATGGAACTTGTTGTTATAACATTAGGAAGGGACGAGGGATGCTTCATTCTAGAGGATGAGGCATGAAGGGTCATATTTTTAAACGTCAGGGGTGGTGGTGCGACTAAGGAATGTAGCTCGTCAGAACACATGCCGTGGAAGTAGCGATAGCGGAACGAGGGAATGACGTTGTAGGGTTGAAACTTATTACTATTATATCTAGAGTTCAAGATGGAATAAAAGGCAAGAGAGATTGAGTAAATATGGCGGAGAACAAGAAACATAGAAAACAAGAGAAACAAAAACGAAGAAGATAAGCGAAGACACCCATCATTATGATAGGTGCCTGATTAATTTTCGATTGATATGTAAATGCACCTGTTTGACACATTAAAACATTAAAGCCATATAATACTAATACACACACACATACATATATACACACAAATAAATATATATATATATATATATATATATATATATATATATATATATATATGTAATAAATAATAACACATTTCTCATAGCATTTTTTCGGATTAAATCTATATTTTCGTTGTCCTCTTATTACCGAGAAGTAAAAAAACAAGAACAAATCTATTTCCATACCTGAGGATGTCTGTAGGAACAGACGAAAGCTTGTAAAAATTAAAAAAAGACCTTATGAAACTGGAATTTCTAAACAGGGATCATATCATTTATATAAAGGTTCGGGGTTAGTGTAACTTATTGAAATTGTTTGCGAAGATGTATTCTCGTCATTTAAATCATTAACCTCTATATTTGTTTTTTTTGTATATGAATGATTCATATATATATATATATATATATATATATATATATATATATATATATATATATCATCCATGTTTCTCTCTCACACACACACACACACACACACACACACACCCACACACACACACACATATATATATATATATATATATATATATAG